ACGCACCTTGGTTAGCTCCTTGTACAGTTCCGGGTAAAGAAGCGCCAAGCTTTCATTGACGTCGCGGTCCAGGACAAGCGAAAAGACAGGAGCCATGGTGTAGACAGTTGCGTAACCGACCATGAGCCATCCTTGATAGAGTGCAATCGGTGCAAAGTAGAAAATCGCCGAAAAGACGGCTTGCATGACCGAAATAATGAGGCCGCGGTGGATAACAAACTGAGCTAGCTTGGCCGAGCGCTTGTACGAGTTGCGGCCATGCCAGACGAGCAATTTGGTCAAGTGACTGAACTGAGTGATCGAAAAGTCGGCAGCGAGCGAGGCCTGTTTGCCCTCCTTGCCAACGATGCCAACACCTGTCCCGATGATCGGGTGGAAAACGATCAAGTTGCCATATTAAGTTGCCGGGGTGTGGTGGGGCGATCCGGGCGAAACGAGGCCGTCGCGCGATTGATGGAGAACGGAATTTCGAAGTGTGGGGTCAACCGTAGGCGCGGGGTCAAGCATTGCGTAGCGCGGGGTTGGACGGTCCAAGGGGGAAGAGCATGTGATGCGGTAAAAGTCAAGGTTCGATAGGCGGGATGTACGGAGGCAAGTCAGCAAAATTTCCCGACAGTTCTCATCGATAACGGGCCCCAGTCAAAGGCGCGGGTCGAAAATAGTCATACTAAGTGAGACGAAAACTCACCAACGTCTGCTGCCTGAATCATACTTACGTCGTTTCCCCCGTCTCCGATGCAACATACTCTTCTACGTGTGTACCTTCGAATGAGGCGGGCCACATCTGCCTTTTGGGTGGGAGAGCACCGACAGGCAACAACGGCGGAAAGCTTGGTCGCAATCTCGATGAACTCGTTCTCAAAATGTTCTAGGCATAGCTGGAGACAAGGTTTGAGTTGCCTGAGCCGAAGAGAGGCAGAGAAACTCACCTGCAGAGATTCTCCATCGATCACTAAGCAGCAGTCTAACTTTGATTGCAGAAAGTCTAGCTGGTCTCTTGCTTGGTCCGTGCTCTTCACTATTTGCGTATCAGCTGTATCTTGGCCATCGAAATCAAATCACTTACGCTTGGCGACTTGGTGGATATACTGGTTCCGCGCTACCAGCTTTGTTGAGATCGCGATGCAAGTCGCGGTCTCCACTTTATCTCCAGTCAACATCCAAATACGGATCCCGGCGTTCCGCAACAGCTCGATTGTCGCCCTCACATCCTCCTGAAGCTTGTCTTCTACCCCTGTCAAGCCAAGCAACTCGAGCCCACGTTCTAGGTGGTTTCCGACAACCTCGGCCATCGCTTCAGCGCGGCCTTCGAGACGTACGCTTGCCGCTTTGTGTGCAGCCTCGAACGCCGACCACTCTGCAGCCGATAGCCTTCTGCGAGCACACACGAGTGTACGAAGTCCCTCCCGAGCCATGTTCGCCGTTTCTTCCTCGAGCCAATCGGAACGTTGAACGAGTCGTGCCATGACCGTATCAGCCCCCTTTTGGACAAACATAATTTCGTGCGTCTCTGCGCTCTGAACAACAATGCCCATGCGCTTGGATTCTGACGTAAATGGAAAGAGTGCGAGGACGTTGTAGACCAGGGTGGTTCCGTCAGGGGCCTGCAATTCGATTTGTGTCCGCGTGCGAGAGGTGAGAGTGAGTCCGACGGATTCGGTCCATTTAACTATTGCGACTTCGTCAGGGGATGAAGCTTGGTAGGTTACAGTCCCATCGTCGTTGGTTACGGGAGTGACCTATGGCACGAGTTAGTCTTCGGAAGGAACTGAGCGATCTACTGACATTATGGCAGAGAGCCAAGGCAAGAACTACGTCTCGAACCCTGGAGGACATGTCGCGTTTCCCTCGCGAGGCAAGCTGCGCGCCAGTGGCCAAAGAGCCTTGCCGCTTGAGTCCACCCGAGTGTTCAGAGCCAAAAGCCACAACTAGTTGGTGTGCTACTTCGTCCATAGCATCCGCACCGTAGGAAATTGTGCCCATGTGTAGTTTACGCATTTCCATCTCTGTGTACGGTCAATAAAATTTGGAGGATGAATCAACAAGGGACGCACCGTTTTGCGTGAGAGTTCCTGTCTTGTCGCTCAACAGATATTCAATACGTCCAAGTTCCTCGGGTAGAGTGCTTGTCCTAACGATCGTTCCTGGTATTTCATGATCGGATTCGATTTGGCGAGCATAGACGGTCTTGCCCATATCTAAATTGACTCGCAAGCTGCCCGAAGTTAAAATGGCGTATAAACCAGAGAAAGTGGATACCAACCTGATGGGTATGATGCTGGAAAACAATATTAAAAATCGGAATACGTAGATGTACCACTGCCCTCGAAAGCCGTTTAGCGCAACCAGTAAAACCGAGAGCGCGAATGTGACTGCACACAGAATCTGTTGGTTGCTGTTAGCTTGTAAACCATGCGGCAGTAGGGATACTAACCTTGGCTACTCGGTTGATTTCTAAATCCAACAGTCCCACTTTTGTCTCTGGGTGTGAGGTATTCATGACAGCGCGAGTCTCCCGCCCCGTGTATACAACGAGACCTATAGCCGTTCCTGCAGCAAGCACAGTGTTCGCCCATAGAAGATTTTCGGCGGTAAGGGGTGTCACCTGAGAGTGTTGCTGTTGTTCGGGGTCTGAATCGGACGCGGAGTGAAGAGTGAATGTTCCGATAAATGTGTGAATGTCTTTAATTGGTGCGTCCGCTATCAAACAAGTGAGACATTATGCCTTTAGAATATCCAGTGGCTACATACCATATACCTCGGCCGATACATTTAGCAGCGACCAATCATCTGGCAATGCTTGACAGACAGGAACGGCCACCCGGAGTTTCCAGTCTGTCTCGCCGTCTAGTTGATCTGTCCGTACGAAGCAAGTACCAGAGGGGTCCGAGGTTCGCAAGAGCAGCATATCGGCAGGTACACGCTGGTTCTGGGTAAGCTGGACCAGGTCACCGACTTTGAGCTGAGAGGATGGAGTTGCGCGAGTAGGGGGGAAGCCTGGCGTCGTAGGGGATGGAGACGACGAGTCGGGTTCGAGGATAAGGTATCGTTGAGCATTGGCTTCTCTGTCTCTTCGATTCCGAAGCACATCGTCCCAAGCTTCCTTGCCCATTGTAACAGCCAGTACAAACGCGAGCGGAGCCACATAGGTCGCAATAAACCCGATTTTGAGTGCAGGAACAAACTGTGACAGGGCGACGAGGAGAAAGTAGAGGTTGAAGAAGAACTTGAATTGGGCGTAGATGACGAGCGGCAGGAAGGAGAAGACAGTATACTTTTGGTTTCGCACGACGTTTGCGGGAAATTTCGATTGAAACGAGTCTGCGAAATATTGAAAAAACGAATAACGGCCCAGATGGACCAACTCACCTGGTGGTCGAAAAGGAATGGTCCTGCTTTTGTCTTTGCTCGAGGGGGACTTGGGAGGGTCGTTGCGGGTGTTCTACTTCAAGTTAGATTATGAACACCAAAGGAAGACTTGCTTACCCCCAGCCGCGAGGAACCTTCGTTCTCTTCATGTTCGTCCGTGTCGTCAGAGATCAATGCGACTTGATCCTCGGGAATATCCTGTTCTCGTCGCTTTCCTTTTGACTTTCGAGACATTTGTATGCGGGAGCCTAGAGGGTAAGGATCTAAAGCAATCTCCCGGTCTCCTGAGCTCATAACTCGCAGATAGGGAGGTGGCTATGCACGTGACTGATCACACGTGGATCGATCTGTGGCGCTTACGGTCGGCAAGGTGCACCATGCGCCACAAAAGTTTTTCCCACACGTGACCAAAATGGCCATCAATGGCCATGGCAGGCGACCGAGGCATCGTAAAAATAAAACAAAAATACCGTCAGATGCGCGCTAGCGATATGTATATACGGGTGAAAAATCAGAAAAATATACACATAATCAGTCTGTCAGTGAGCGAAACAAGTTGAACAGTATGGGAAAATCTTTTGTGGGATATCAAGGTGCCGGAAATTTAAGGAAGATTGGGTGCAATACAGGGGATCAAAAAATCCCAAATTATTTACATAGACTTGAGACACTCTGGAGGCTCATGTATACAAGTGCCATGAGGATTGGAGACATGGGTGGGTAGCTATAAAAACCAAGCTGCTGCACCCTTCTTTCTGCAATAGCACACATACATGCAATCAGGATGTATCTAATAGCACCTTGAGTAGTCCAAACACATGCCAGGAGTAGTTTTAGACCCAACTGAACAACTACATAGCTCTGAACCTGCAGTATGGGCTGAAACAAGCAGTCCCAGAATACCCCTTCATAAAAGATGGGGAGTATTTGCCCCACCCATGCACAGTACTGACAAGGTGATATGCAGGATATATGCGCTGTATATGCTGCTGTCCATGTGCAAAATATGGGGCAAGTCAGCTTTGTATATCCAGAGAAATCATGGGGCAGAGGTTTCAGGTTTGTAAAATTCTTATGAAAAACAACATAAAATCAGAAGTCTGGAGCTCTGCCCCGAGTAAATACAAACAAGGAGAAAAACAAAGGAATGTCAAATGGGCAGTTATCCAGAGCAACTCTGCAGCATATAAGGGTCCTAGGTGACATGCTTAACCAGTGGCTATGGTCACATGATGTAAATATAGCGCATATATGCAGTCAATAAAAATGGGAAAAATGGGGAAAATGTGTAGAGACTGAGGAGGCTTTAAGATCTAGCTAAATCCTCTGCTGTGTCTGAGCCACCTATGCCTGAGCCCCATCTGAGATCTAGCTTGCCCAAATCCAGGTGAAAAAAATCCCAAAAATCAGATTGAGTGATTTCTCATGTTCAAGAGCATGAATGATGTCTTCTGAACATCAAAAAAGAAGGCCTGAACCCTGGACTGAATCAGGTCAATGGAAACATCTTCATCTGAGCTCTAGCTTGGTTAAAATTGGTCAAAACCAGGTGAAAAAAATCCCAAAAATCAGATTGAGTGATTTCTCATGTTTAGGAGCATAAAATATGTCTTCCAAACCTCAAAAAAGACGGCCTGAACCCAGGATTGAACTGGGGACCTCGCCCATTTGATGCCCTGCTCAAATTGAGGCTCCAATTTAGGTGTCCCTAAGGGCGAATCATACCACTAGACCATCCAGGCTTGATTAGTTTACTCAGGTAGCATTTGTTAGCTCCTACTCACTTGCATCTGAACCATCTTCCACTTATTTTTGTACTTCAATTCACTCTCATCCAGCCGAAATTTCATTGCATAACCTTCACAGTTTGCAGGCATGTGATATCTAGATAGATGGACTATAGAAAAATAGTGTATTTCTATGGTCTGGGACTTGTGCTATGACAAGCAACCAAACATATGTGGTGGTGAATGAGAGCCTGTTACTACCGCCTATTGAGTGCAAAGCTGCTGCACATTTGAGTTAGTGGTGCTACGTTCTTTAGGTCCAGAAGGGAGTTGGCGCTTGACGTGGACCCCGAATTCCTGACTAAGCTTCAGACAGCCCATTTTTCGAATCTCGATTCATCCATCACAGACTCATGAGCACCATGACTTTCCGTACATTATGCAGGGCATGCCGTATACTTGATGCCCATACATCAACTTTTGTTACTACCCGGTGCTCCAAGTGCCCACGACGTGTGGCTAACTCGGTGACCAGTACCAAAACTCGATCCCTCTACGCTGGCTCACTTCGATATGCGAGTACGTCGGTAGCAATTCAGCAAGACATTGCAGGGTTGGCCAATAATGTAAGCGTGCAGCCGCCTCCAAACGTCTACTAACGGCTTCGAAATTAGGACCCACAATACTCGGAAGACCAGCTTCGGGCACTTTACGAAGACCTCTTTGCCTCGTCCCTTCCATCCCGAACCTTGGTACCCACACTAACGGACACTGCTCGCGAGACGCTGCGCGCATTACAAGAGCGGTTCGACCTGGGCGAACCTAGCTACAAGGCGGTGGTCGACCACGTGCAACAAGCTTTGGCGTTTATCGCCGACGAAACCAACCTCCCGAAACTGGGACTCGTTTTGGATTCAGAGTGGGAAATCATTATCAACGCTGCCGTACGTGCATTGGAGGTTACACACGTCAGGACTGATGGGTTCTTAGCTTGACGCCAAGGACGTTGACTACGCGCTCAAAACGTTTGAACTTGTAACGGTGCGTAACTTGATTAATCCGACACTCGTAGCTGATCATTGATAGAAATACAACGTGCAACTATCCGAGGGCCTGGACCAACGTGTACTAGAGCACGGCTCATTATCAGTAGAAACCTTTACGGTTCTTAGCGACAAACTCACGGAATGTAAGTCTCTTTTGGTTCAATCAGCGAAAGCTGAGCCTAGTCGCAGTGGGATACCCCCTCACGCCGGAACGTTTATCGCTATTGGTCAACGTTCACCTACACTCACGAGAACAATCATTTGATCACGTAAAGAGCACTCAAAATCTCATTCATAAATTCGAAGCTCAAGGAACCCCACCATCTCAAGCTGGCTATACCCATGTTATCAAAGCCTACTTGGATCTATCTCGGGAATCTAGCCTGTTATCTGGCTCCAATCCTTCCGCCGCCATAGCTGCAGTTCACGACTTGTTCACTCACATGCGCTACATTGCACAGCCAACCCCGTCGCTTCGAACCTACGGTCTCATGATCTCGGCCTGTGCTCGCGGGTATCGCGTCAACCCTCTCCGCGCGCTGGAGCTATTAAAAGAGGTTCAGGACGGACTCATGCAAGGCAAGCCAGAATTTTTACAGCCCGGGCTGGATACTCGTTCTCTTATTGCCTGCTACAACGGGGCTATTCGAGCTTGCGCACGCGCCGGGTCGAGATTTGCAGGAGAAGCCTTCCGGCTTGCCAAGGAGCTCGTGCAACGTGACGGAATTCCCGTCGCGGGTGCAGCAATCGGCGAGATTGGGCCCGACAGAGCCACAATGGCAGCACTGATGCACTGTGCCAAGCGTGCGAGCGATTTAGGACGAGCACGCTGGATTCTAACCGAGGTTGTGAGAGCACAGGCCCATATTCTGCGGCAGGCAGAGCTCCCAGGAGAGTCCGAGGCGATTTTGGACGAAGAGGTCAT